ATGGGGACAGCTGTCCAAAGACCTAGAACCTTCTGATATTAACCTATATAGAAACCCTATTTAACCCTCCAATTTACTGATTATTGCAACTTTCAATAGGTTTCACCTAAATTCTGATTGTTTGGTTAACCCCCTTAAGTCTGGGCCAATTATCATGGCCCAATGGACCAACACAGACCCAAATCATGGCCAAATGGACCAAGACAAATCCAAGACCAAGCCAAAGTAAAAAAAAATACCACAACTTAACCCAAATCGTTTGATCATTCTGTAAATTAACAACTTAATCAACTAATCAACTAAGTTCAAACAACATGAAAGATATGCAAATCAGTCATCAATTAGTTGATTCAGCACGATTGACCAAACAGGGACAGTGATTTTAAACAATCTAAACTAATTCGACCAAGTGAATAATAAGAACAAATCCAAAAGAAAACAAACAAACAATGAAACTAAATTACTCAACTAAGTAATCCAGAATAATTCCAAAAAGTAAGATGTTCAAATTAACTTAAATAAATAGCCAATAAAACTAATTTAAACAAATAAATACTCGAAGCACATTCAAACAAGTAGATAATCAAAACTTAATTCAAACAAATAAAAGGAAAAATCAGAAACATAAAAATAAAAACAAAAAAAAAAGGAAAAGAAAAGAAAGAGGAAGGGTACTGTTTTCTTTCAAACGGAATGAATCATCAACTGAAGCGATCCAATGAACAAAAAAGGCTACGACCTGGCCATGCATCAGTGGTGACTTCGAAATGGGTCGAAACTAATGCAAAACGATTTCTCTTATCAAAATCAATCGATTCACATGAGTCTCGACCCAAGACGAACAAAATACTCCAAAAATTTGCACAAGGTTGAACCAGGGTCTCTTCTGGACTCTTAAATCTAAAATTCACTGATTTTAGCAGGGATTCTAGGGTAACTGGTAGGAGATATGAGATGAGGGGAGTGTGGTGGTTGTCTGGTTAAAAGTTGGACGGGTTGGAAAGGTTTGGGTGAACTAGGGTTTGGTCTCAGATCTGAAATTGGAGAGATTTGAGAGAGATTTGAGGGAATTGGTTTGGGGATTTGGAAAGGGGAGAGGATTGACTGGTGAAAATTTGGGGAGGTTTGGAGTGGCGCCGCCGCCGTAGAGCGATTTCCGGCGACGGCGATGGCGGAGGTTCAGAGAGGTACGAGGGATTGAGAGAGACGAAGTGATGAGAGGTCTTTGGGGGGGGGGGGGGTCTCGTTTTAGGACAGTTATATAGTTAATTGGAGGCGAGTTCGAAGCCGTTGGATCATAAAGATCCAACAATCGTGATTGAGAGGGAACAAAATGGGGTCGTTTCTTATAAGTGGGGTTGGACCGGGTAAGGTTGATTTGGGCCTGGGTTGGGATGTGTTTGGGAACGGGTTTGGGCATAAAAATCAGCCCAAATTCAATTTTAAATCCTTTTCTTCAATTAACCCTTTTATTTCCTTTTTCTTTGGTTTTTCTTATCTTTTTCTTTAATTAAAAATCCTATATTAAAATCCTAAATTAATCTAAAATTATAAAATTAAGCTAAATATCTAATTACAATAATTATAAAATTAATGATCCCAAATTAAAAGAGAAAAATCACTAATCTAAAAATTAAAAGGTAAAAAATGTAAAATGAGCTATTTTTGTGATTTTTATTTTTTAATGAAACAAATAATTAGCTAATTAATCCTAAAAATGTAAAAACAAAACCTAAATGTAGTGCATGGTATTTTTGACATTTTTCATGATTTTAGTAAAAAGTAACGTGCACAGAAGTGCAAGCAATTAATAAAAATCCTACAAAAAATCCTATAAAATGGCAAATAATTGGAAAAAATCTATTTTCTTGGATTTTATAGGAGTATTTCCTATAGGGCAAAAATCTCATGCTCACATGTATTGAGAAGTTTTTTTGAAATACGGTAATTATGAGAGAGAAAAATCTAAAAAAGGAGAGCGAAAAATAAAAAAATAGCGTGTTTAGTGGTTTAAGGGTAGGAGATAACCAAAATTAGAAATTTTGCTATAAACACTAATAGGTATCTATAGAATATAATTTTTTAAAATGATCTTTATTTAAAATAAATAAGGTGTTAACCTTTGCTATAAGAGGTAAAAATTCCTAAAATAAAAGGCGGCCCAAAAACTGAGTATAGATGCAAATGTCCTAAAATTTATTGGTAGCCAATGTCCGGTTATTCTCCGAAAAAATAGCCCAGTGAGCCGTCTAGCCCTTATGAATCGAAGTCATTATTGCAAAATTGGTTTAGCAAAAACACCGAATATGGGAGTAATCTTCATAAAGTAATAGGGTAAAAATTGCACGGGGCGCCCTATTTGGGCGCCCCTTTTTAACTTGTAGCCGCTTTGTCTTTTTGTTTGCATCCGTACCCACTAAACAAAAACTTCAGCTCTAGAGCTGAAGTTTTTATTTTATAACTAGCAAACTTCAGCTCTAGAGCTGAAATTTTCGGGTTACTAAAGTTTTTATTTTATAACTGGCAAACTTCAGCTCTAGAGCTGAAGAGCTGAAGTTTTTGTTTAGTAACCCGATAACTTCAGCTCTAGAGCTGAAGTTTTCAAGTTATAGAATAACTTCAGCTCTAGAGCTGAAGCTTCCGGGTTACTAAACAAAAACTTCAGCTCTAAAGCTGAAGTTTTTATTTTATAACTGGCAAACTTCAGCTCTAGAGCTGAAGTTTCCCGGTTACTAAACAAAAACTTATAAAATAAAACTTCAGCTCCAGAGCTGAAGTTTTTATTTTATAACTGGCAAACTTCAGCTCTAGAGCTGAAGTTCGCGAGTTAAAAAAAAAAAACTTCAGCTCTAGAGCTGAACTTCAGGCCCGGCTACTTAAATGCTGAAGTTTTGTGTAATTGCCTTTGCTACTTCAGCCCTGTGTGCTGAAGTTACGTGAAAAAGCGGGTACGCTTGCAATTTTTTTTGCAAAGCGGGCACAGGTTAAAATGTGGCACAAAAAGCGAGTATAGATGCAAATGCCCCAGTAATAGGGGGCACTCTTATTTATTATAACATGTAATTATCTTATTTTAAAAGTTATAAATTTCCATTTTAAAAAAGTTCACTTGCCAATATCCTTCCAGTAATCTATTAGAGTAAAAAAATTCTTATACTGATTGTGTATATAACTTACCTAGTGTTTGGCCATGAATTTTCAAATTTATTTTAAAAAATATAATTTTGGTGAATTTTGGTTTGAAGATGAAAATCTGTTTGGACACCATTTTTTGAAACATATTTCATTATTTTTCGGGGAAAAAAAGCTGAAATGTGATTTATACCCATAAATTCTAAAAACTATCAAAAATACACAACAATACCAAACAAACAAACTTGCTTATCCTATAAATGCAGAACCTTCATCGATCTTCATCGATGCCATTCATTATCATTATCACAAACCGTAATCCTGAACATAAATAAGTTTGGCACAAAATTATCATTCTTATAATGAATTACATAATACATTCTCTAAAATCATAACCTAGTATTTTAATATCAACTGCTAATAACACAATTACTATCTATTACAATTTATCAAATTGCAATAATATTACAAGATCCATCGATCTAAAAAAATGATAGTAACTAGTTGATGGATTAGTTGGGTCATAATATAGTGGGCTTTTTTATAAAATAAAAAGTTTAAGGTAATTTTTGAAATTATTAAAAAAGAAACCAACGGTTTTGAGTCAAAAACCGGTATAAAGCTATTTTGGGATTCAAAAATCTTATTTTCAAAATCCGACAAAATATAAATTAAATCTATAAACAAACAGGTTTTGCCAAAAAAATAATTGAAAAACACTTGCCAAAATCTATAGCCAAACGAGGGCATAAACTCAATAAAAAGTTAATAATACCGTATTTACGTAAAATGAATGAAAACTTTTTATCTTGTTATAAGCTAGCGTTTGACCATAGATTCCCAAATTTATTTTAAAAAATCTGATTTGGATGAAGTTTGGTTTGAAGATGAAAATATGTTTGGACATAATTTTTCAAAACATACTTCACTTTTTTTTTTTTTTGGAAAAAACATGAAATGTCTATACCCATAAGTTTTAAAAACTATCAAAAATACCCAACAACTCCGAAGAAAATTCATACAAAACAAGCGAAACAAATCTAAAGAAAATTCATACAAAACAAGTGAAACAAATCTAAAGAAAATTTATACAAACATTACAAGATTTTAGCAAATTACCTTCAAATTTTGTCTTTGCGGCGAATTGCCACAGATTGACACAACAACTACGGCGAAGGTATTCTTCTGTTTACAGAAAAGGGCAAAACTTTTGTATGGAGCAATTTTTAATTTTTTAAAAATACCAAATGATACTATTTTGGACGAAAAACAGCTCTTGAGCTGCTTTTGGAATTTAAAAATTTTCCAAAATATGAATATTTATAAACGAATAGGTATTTGCCAAAAAAATTTGGAAAAAAATTTGTCAAAATCTATAGCCAAACGGCGCAAGGTAAGTGACCTGGCAAATTAAAAATGGTGGTCTAATTTGGTAGCCTTTTGCTTACTTATGCCATTAGCTCTATAAGATAGTATTTCTATTCTTAATTAAATTCTCAATCGTTTATCAAATAAAGGAAGTATTTATACCTTGCAACAAATTTGCGTATTAAAGAAACTTCATGCAAAGAATTGTTAGTTGTTGCAAGTTAATACTCAAATCCATCATTGAGATTTCAGACTTCTTGAGGAAAAAAGTTAAATGCGTTTGAAATTCTAATTAATACCAGTGCCAGCCACTCAAAAATTTTAGTGGAATTGTCCACTTCTCCACGAATTGGTTAATTATCTAGGAAATTGTGTAACAATTTGCTATGCAATCTCGTGAACGCAAGTGGACAATGTCAATTTAAAATCATTATTTTGTCAATTATGATTCTCCTCAACAGCTGTTATAAAGAAAAAACATAAGACCATATCTCAACTATATATTCCCATTATCTGTGAAGTGCTGCACCCATTGCTCCACTTCATGTGAAAAACTTCAAGTAGTTTATTCTTAGGTCCTTGATTTTTCTATATATTGGCTCTATTATAAGATGTGTAATATACTCGGATATAAAAGAAGGGAGAAAGTATATATGAAGATGAAAACTAGTAGTATTACAAATTCTACGTTTGTATTACTTACTTGTTTTTCGATGTTGTTGTGCATCTCTCAACTGGCTAACGTTGTTGTCTGTGAGTGTAGCAGAAATATGGTGATCTTCAATTTTGGAGACTCAAACTCAGACACAGGTGGTTATTGTGCTGCCCATGGAATCAGATTTGGATATCCAGATGGTCGTTCCTTTTTTCATGATCAGCCATCTGATAGATTATGTGATGGACGATTAATTCTTGACTTTCTTTGTAAGCCCTTCTTGCTCTTTTTTTGTAAAACTTGTTAATTCCTGAAAATCCAATTTATCTAAGGTAGCTTAAATTGGAGTTTAAGAAAGAACCAAATTTATTTTGAATTTGTGCTTTAAACCTATCATAACATTTGCTTTAAACCTATCATAACATTTGTGTAACGGAAGTTTCTCATTAAGTGCGAAACAAAGAGTTTAAACGTTAAATTATTTTCAAATATAAAAATGCATTATTCTTTTCCAACATCAAAGTAACTTGCTTCCAATAAAAAGGTCAAATACATCGGCAGCCCCTTAAAGTTGTCCTCACTTTTCACTTAGACACTCTATCTTTAAGGGGCTGCCGATGTCTCTCACTGTCTCACATATGCAACTAGTAAACGGATATTTGATTTCTGTCCCAATATAATTTACATGATACCCTTTTCTTTTTAGTTAGTCCTAAAAATAACGATACCTTTTTAAGTGCGAAATAATATAATTTTTTTTACACCTTAATGAAATTGTTTACAATCACAAGGATATTTTTAAATATTATTAGATTACAAAGTTTCGAATGTTATTTTTTTCTTTTATAAACTTCTGGCTAGTCAAATATCATCACATGTAGGACGGAGAGGAGTATACTTATGTGGAGTTTTTCACGTCACCCTTCACAAGCACTCTTTTAACCCGTGAAAGTGTATACCAGGTAGGTAAACAATCAATATCCCTCAGCTCTCTTAGAATAGTTTTGATCAACTCATTCAAGAAATACTGCTGGAATTTCTTTTAAAGTTAGATACTTTGATCTTTTCAGGAAATACTCAAAATACTATTGTAGGAATGAGGCATATTAATTTACAGACTTCTGCGCCAAAAACAATTTATAGGAATGAATTTAATTAGTTCAAAGAAAAGACACGTTGTCACTTGACTTGAATCCATTTCCTTTTGGCAGTATTCATATATTTGTGTAGGGGTATACATGGACCGGGTTGGTTCGGTTTTTATCAAAACTAAACCAAACCAACTATATCGGTTTGGATTGATTCGATTTTGTCAGGTTTTTCGGATTTTTTTTACATGAATATTATTACAATCTTACTTTATTAAATTTTTTATAAGTAAATATGTGTTTAGTAAAAATTGAAAACTTGACAAATATATGAGCTAATAAAATATTCTTATGCAAGAATTTTCTTAGTAACACATGATAGGTACTTTTTTAGTTGTCTGGCAATAATTTTACGTTGATGTACACTTTCAAGGTTAACCGAATTTAATAATTAAACATAAAAATAAATACGAACCTATATAATGATATGTTCTATTTAACTTTAAATTATTTGAATACCATTTCAAATTCAAAAAAGATATAAGAATTTAATAGATCTTAACATATGAATAATGAAGAACAAAGAGATTGACGCATTTCAGTAACACTTGATAAGAAAGTGATCGTACAACTAATTATTTAAAGTTAATAAATATGGAGCACTTCATATTTAACTAGATATTACATCCCATAAGAGAATCGAAAATATTTCTAGACGTTTTTTTAAAGAAATTCTATAAAATTAAAGTCTTAAAATATAAATATTATATATTTATATATCAGTTTGGTCCGGGTTTATTTACTCAATACCAAACCAAATCAAACAAAACCTAATCGAGTTTTTTAATCGGATTGATTTGACTTTTCGGTTTGATACATTTTTTCCGATTCGATTTGTACACCCCTATATTTGTATACATAACAAGCTCTCTTTTACCCCGTGAAACAATATGGTGAGAAAATATTCTACTTTCTTTTTCTATAAATATATATACTACTAGTACTTTTGCATAGCCAAGATTTAAATTTTATTAGTTCTGGAATTTAAAGCTAGGACTTCAAGTTGTACATATTTAATTTAATTAAATATTGAACATTTATTAAATTCGGTCGTATTCAGACATTTACCTCCGCCGTACTATATTTACACACGAGTATTTTTTGGGCCGAGCCCGTGACTTTATCTCGGTGCTGCCACCCACGGTACTGTCAATTCTCCATTCTTACGACCCCATATGCAGCCTGCTTGCTAAGTTTTTAATAACAAATGGTTTTATAATCACTTCAACTACATAGAGGTGAATATTGTATTTTATTTGTCAAGTGTCTATAAGAGTGTTATGTAATATATTAAAATTTTTATTGTCACAGAAGCTATATCTCTATCATAAATTAGACACTCATGGATAGGATACATATTTATATTCAAGCCCCTAAGGCTCCTTGTCTGATCAGCGTGAATGAGAGAGTAATGTGGTTATTAATAAATTAAAATACTACCCAAAATAATTACTCAAAACATTCAATGACAAATACTAACTAATTAACTTTCTGTGGTGTGATACATGCTTGCAGGTGAAAGTCTGAACATGAGTTATTTGAATGCATATCTGGAATCTGTAAGACCAAATTTTAAGAACGGAGAAAATTTTGCAATAGGAGGTGCAACTATACTCCCCAAAAATGCTTTATTTACTCTGAGTACTCAAGTTCTTCAATTTATAAGGTTCAAAGCGCGGTCCCTTCAGTTACAATCCATAGGTAATTAAATAGCAGTATATATTAATGTTTACATATTCACTCCCCGCTTAACCTCAATTAATATGCTAATTTTTCAACTTTTAATTGGACAAGGTCTGAAAGACTTGGCCGAGGACGATTTCAAGAATGCAATTTACATGATAGACATAGGACAGAATGATATTGCAAATGCATTCTCCTACCTTTCACAAGCTTCTCAAGTTCTCGAAAAGATCCCTTCTTTCATATCTGAGATTCAAGCTGCAGTCTGGGTGAGTCTTTTTTCCTTAGGGTAAAGGTCCAAATTTGCGACTAACATCCAAATTACGCTCATTGTTTTTCTACGCTACACCTAATTTGTCCAATCAATAATTAGCAAATCGTCTCATATTTCCCTTTCAATTAACATAAAGTTGGTGGACTCCACGTGTTCAAATTTTCATTAAAAAGTCTAAATTTACCCCTTAACTTTTTTATTAAAATTCAAAATTACCCTCAAATTGGAGCTCCGTTAGAGGTCTAAGGACAAAAATGAGACTTTTTCCTAATGGTGGACACCTTAATATGAGATCAAAAGTCTAATGAAAGGCAAAATCTTCCAATTTCAAAGAGTATAGAGGAAAATTTGACCTGTACGTTATGCCTCATGTACGTTAAGCACAGTATATTGAGATGTTGAATGATCACCTTCATTATTAATTAACACAAATTAATAAATACAGGGCATATACAATCGTGGTGGGAAAAATTTCTGGGTTCATAACACGGGACCCTTGGGTTGTTTGCCACAGAGGCTTGCGACAAGAAATGTTAGTAATTTGAACGATTTGGATGATTATGGATGCATTAAGTCTATGAACGAAGCTGCGGAAACATTTAACAATCAGTTGCGCGCTCTTTGTGAACAGCTGAGGCTCCAAATGAATGACGCAACCATTGTGTACGTGGATATTTATGCCATCAAGTATGACCTCATCGCCCATTCGAGCGCTTATGGTGAGCTTAACTGAAGATTTCTACGTATTAATTGTTGCACAACACGCAAACTTTTTGAGTAGTCCTAAATATGAATTGTACGTCAAATTTAGAGCATGAAATTATAATTGGGCCAAAATTTAAAGACGAATCAGTATGGGGATAGCCCAAGTAACCCATTTTAAAGCTTGGGCTAATTTGAGCTCCATATATAGCCCAAATACTTTGGAGGAAACTTATCAAAACATCGAAAATGTGCTTTTTTTTAGTTTCATGTGCGTGATAATTTTCATATATAGCCCAATCCATTGATCGATTTGACCGTACGCCTAAATGTAGCTCAATTCGCCTCTTTGACACTCTTAAGTTGCAGATGCATAGCAAGTATTGGTTGATGTAGTATCCGTACAACTCTATTTGAACTATACATATAGTAGAACAGTACTCCAATATATTTAAAGAATATATTTTTATACTAAATTTGCATTCTGCATTTACTGATTACTAAATCTGATTTCGTCTGTGATAATAGGTATTCAAAATCCATTGATGGTGTGCTGTGGTTCTGGTGGTCCGCCTTACAACTATAATTCCAATATAACGTGTCGCCAAAGTGGGTATAGTTTGTGTGAGGAAGGCTCTGCATATATCAGCTGGGATGGAGTTCATTACACTGAGTATGCTAATGCAATTGTTGCCTCCAAAATACTCTCTACAAACTATTCCACTCCTCCTCTTGACTTGCATCACTTTTGTACCTAGAAATTCCTACTACTATTTAATAAGCTGTTGCTACTTCTTTTCTCTGTTACCGTTGTGAGTGACCAATCAAATAACTTTGTCAAACGTATCCAATGCAATATATATTTCTTGATGGAAGAAATGTTGAATCGATCTTTAGTTTCCATTCCAAATTAATTCGGGTTAGTTCTATGACGTACGTGATTGAACATTAAAGAGGAATTGCTTTAACGGAAAATGGAAAGCAAGAGGTTCCCCACGACGGTCTCGTGAAGGCACTCCTGATGGATCTCACAGAGATGGACAGGCTCAATTTGAAAATGTTGAAACCATGAATGAGGCTTTGCAAAAACTTATTGCCTCTCAAGTCAATAAAGCTCTTCAGACTTTTGTTAGCCAATTACCTGTTGCTCCACCCACATCTACTCCAAACAACAATACTTTGGAGAATCCTCGTTCTGGGTTGATTAATTCAGGCAGTGGTGGAACCCCTAGTGAAACACAAGAGGGAGACCCAGGTAATCCAGTTAATTCTGATTTACAAAATCTAGTACTAACCTTGCAAAAACAGCTTAAGGAGCAAAATGAACGCATAGAACAAATACCTGGGGTACCGCCCGTGATCAAGGGAGTAGATATAAATAAATATTCCCAACAACCATGGAAGCCAAGTGCTGCCCCCCTCCCAATTCCAAAGAAGTTTAAGATGCCTGATATTCCAAAGTATGATGGTACATCAGATCCACGAGATCACGTTACTGCATTCACAACAGGTGTCAAGGGCAATGATTTGACTAAGCAAGAGATTGAGTCGGTCTTGGTCAAAAAATTCGGTGAAACACTCACTAAAGGGGCCTTAACATGGTATTCTCTTTTACCTGAAAATTCTATAAATTCGTTTGCTGAGCTTGCAGATTTATTTATCAAAGCACACTCGGGAGCTCAAAAAGTTGAAAAGCGAATGGAAGATATCTTCAAAATCAAGCAAGGAGACTCAGAGTTGCTTAGAGAGTTCGTAGATAGATTTCAACGGGAAAGAATGACGCTGCCACGAGTACCTGACAATTGGGCAGCCATAGCCTTTGCTAGTAATTTGAATGAGAAGAGTTCAGAAGCCACGAGGCGACTCAAAGAAAGCCTTCGAGAATTCCCAGCAACAACGTGGAATGATGTCTACAACAGATACAGTACAAAGATAAGGATTGAAGAAGACATTATTTTACGACATAAAACAGAAGAAAAGGTAAGCTCAAGGCGTGTGGAAAATGAAAAGAGATCCGGTAAAAACAGGTACGAGCCATACATGGGACCTGCAGGGAAAGACTCACGATCAAGGCAAGATAATCAAAGGTACGATCACAAACCTAGAAACAAGGAGTCAGGCTCCTCATCGAAGTTCGGAAATGACCGGAACACACGCGGGTCACGAGACGATGATGGAAGTCTAAAGGCAAGGTTCGGTGGTTACAACTTCAACGTAAGCACCTCTGAACTCGTGGCTGTTTTAAGAAGCATGGGAGATAAGGTACGATGGCCAAAGGAAATGCGATCAAATCCGAACAGACGAAACCCTGATCATTGGTGCGAATTTCATAACGATCATGGGCATAAAACAGCAGATTGCAGGTTTCTACAAGGTGAAGTTGATCATTTGTTAAAACAGGGGTATCTTACTGAGTTGTTCAGTGAGAAAGGTAAACAAGCATACATGAAGAACAGGCAGGAGCCTCCAAAACCACCTTCGCCCAAGAGAACTGTCAACGTTATAAGTGGAGGTGAAGAGATCAATGATGTATCATATAAAAAGGTTTCAAAAGTGACAATTACCCACGGGAAGCGGCCTCGACATGTACTGGAAGAGGAGAATGTTATATTCAATAACGCAGACGCCGAGGGACTCATAACTCCGCATAACGACGCAATGGTAATATCTTTACTTGTACATGATACTAACGTGAAACGGGTTTTGGTTGATCCAGGTAGTTCTGTAAACATTATTTTAATACGGGTATTGCGCGAGATGCAAGCGGATGATAAATTAATTCCAAAGGCGCATACTTTGTCGGGATTTGATAACTCTAGTGTTGTAACAAAAGTGGAGGCAATACTTACTACATTCGCAGAAGGCGTCGTTAAAGATACCAAATTTCAAGTGTAGATATGGTAATGGCTTACAATGTGATTCTTGGGAGGCCATGGATTCATGACATGGAAGCTGTTCCTTCAACTTTACATCAAGTTATTAAATTCCCATCTCCATGGGGAATATGCCAAATCATAGGCGATCAACAGACATCTAGAAGCATCAATTCCGTTGCAGATTCAACTGTTAAAGGTGAAGACAAATAGCAATTACAGAATTTAGGTGAGGGTAACACGGAGTCAACCTCACCTGAGCAAAAGCAAACAGATCTGGATTCAAGACCTGATACCATTCAAGAACCGGAGGAGAACGACAACATCAAAACAACGATAGAAGAGCTAGAGGCCGTGGTGTTATTTATACATTGGCCCGAGAGAAAAGTGTACATAGGAGCTAATCTTAGCCCGGAGGTAAAACGTAAATTGATTGAATTTTTAAAAGCTAATGCGGACTGTTTTGCTTGGTCCCATTCTGACATGATAGGGATACTAACGGAAGTCATGACTCATAAGTTGAATGAAGATCCATCATATCCTCCCGTCAAGCAAAAGAAAAGAAAGCAAGGAACTTTCAAAAATAAGGTGATTCAAGAGGAAGTTCAAAAGTTGCTAAAAATTGGTTCAATTCGTGAGGTAAAATATCCTAACTGGTTAGCTAATACTGTTGTGGTTCCTAAGAAGAACGGTAAGTGGCGAGTCTGTGTAGATTACACAGACCTTAATAAAGCCTGTCCATAAGATTCCTTTCCTTTACCGCACATAGATCAGTTAATTGATGCTACTGCAGGGCATGAGCTATTAAGTTTTTTAGATGCATATTCACGCTATAATCAAATCAAGATGGATCCAGGAGATGAAGAAAAAACTTCTTTTATAACATACAGGGGGACTTACTGTTACAAGGTAATGCCCTTCGGTCTTAAGAATGCAGGTGCAACGTATCAAAGGTTGGTCACCCAAATGTTTCAAGAACATTTAGGTAAAACCATGGAAGTATATATAGATGATATGCTAGTTAAGACTCAACATTCAGAAGATCATATATCGCACCTATCTGATACGTTTAAAATTTTACGAAAATATTAATATGAAGTTGAATCCAGAAAAATGTGCATTTGGTGTGGCATCAGGAAAATTTTTAGGTTTTCTTGTTTCTAACCGTGGTATTGAAGTGAATCCTGCACAGATTAAAGCCATTGAAGAAATCCCTGATATACTTTCAAACAAAAAAGAGGTTCAAAGACTAACAGGAAGAATCGCAGCTTTGGGAAGGTTCATTTCTAAATCATCGGAAAAATGTTTTAAATTCTTCTCGGCTCTTAAGAAGCAGGATCATTTTGAATGGGATGAGGAGTGTCAACAAGCACTTAGGGATTTGAAAATATACTTGTCAAATCCACTTTTGCTAGCAAAACCCAAGGCTGGGGAGAAACTTTTCATCTACCTTGCTGTTTCAGAAGTTGCGGTAAGCGCGATTTTGGTACGAGAAGAGCAGGGTAAACAATCTCCTATCTATTATGTTAGTAAATCTTTGTTAGATGCAGAGACACGGTATCCACAATTGGAAAAATTAGCACTTGCTCTAATCATGGCATCTAGGAAGTTAAGACCTTACTTTCAATGTCATCCCATTGTTGTAGTGACTGCATACCCCCTACGTAATATATTGCATAAACATGAATTGTCAGGGAGGTTAGCTAAATGGGCCATAGAGCTAAGTGAATATGAAATCACGTACTTACCTAGAACAGCAATAAAATCACAGATATTAGCTGATTTCGTCGCTGACTTTAGCCAAGGGATGCAGCTAGAAGTAGAAAAAGAAGTACAAGTACTTAATGGGGCTAACCCAGGAACATGAACCTTATTTACTGATGGCTCATCTAACGTAAAAGGTGCAGGATTAGGAATTATTTTAGTACCACCTACGGGTGAAACTATTAGGCAAGCCATTAAATGTCATTCCGTAACTAACAATGAAGCGGAGTATGAAGCTGTGATTGCAGGTCTAGAATTGGCACGAGAACTTGGTATAAATCAAGTAGTGATCAAAAGTGACTCGCAACTCGTGGTTAATCAAATGCTGGGGACTTACACAGCTAGGGAAGCAAGGATGCAACAGTACTTGGAAAAGGTACGGGAACTGATAAAGCAATTCCAAACTTGGAAGGTCATACAAATATCAAGGGATGAAAATATTGAAGCAGATGCGTTAGCTAATCTCGCATCCGCAGCTGATGTGGCAAATGATGCAAATGCTTCAGTTATACATTTATTTCATTCAGTTCTTGAACCAGATAAGAATGAGGCAAATTTTAATAATTTAACTTGGGATTGGAGAAACGAAATTGTTTCTTTTTTACAGTATGGTACCGTCCCTGATGACAAGAAGCAAGCGCATGCACTTCGAGAAAAGGCTGCTCGTTACTGTTTAAAACAAGGGAATCTTTATCATAAGATGTTCGGTGGTCCATTAGCAAGATGCCTCAGACCTTCTCAAACGGAGTATGTAATGAGAGAAATACATGAGGGGCATTGCGAGAATCACGTAGGAGGAAGATCACTGGTGAGAACCTTGATTAGAGCAGGATACTACTGGCCTAAAATGGAGGAAGAAGCGGAAAGTTTCGTAGCTAAATGTGATAAATGTCAAAGGTACGGTAACAACATGCATAGACCTGCAGAATTGTTACATCCGGTCATAGCACCATGGCCATTCATGAAGTGGGGAATGGATATCGTGGGTCCATTACCACAAGCAAAAGGACAGGTAAAATTTTTGCTCATACTTACTGATTATTTCACTAAATGGGTAGAGGCAGGAGCATTTAAACAGGTACGAGAAAAGGAGGTCAAAGACTTCATTTGGCGTAATATCATCTGCCGATTTGGTGTACCAAAGAAGATTGTATGCGACAATGGCCCTCAATTTATCGGAGCTCAAGTCACAGAGTTTTTTGAGAGCTGGCAAATTAAGAGGATCACATCTACACCTT